ATGACTCAATTCAGAGCTTCGTTATGTCTTACCTGGGTAAAACAAGGACAAAGCCAGCTTCGACAAGAGGTTACTATAAGGATCCAAAGACCAAGCATCTCTAAGATCCTTGCACATAGCAAGCCCCTTTCTTTCCCAATCACTTGCTGAGTCCCCATAGGGATAAATAAGCTTCATTATGCCAGTTGTTCTCATGCTTTGAGGAAGGAACATGAAAAGGGGTAGAGATGAGGGCAGTTCAGAACCCTTGGCCAGGAAAATGGAAATATGCACGGAAATGTGTCTGACCTCTGGGAAGCTGTTAATCAGTGATTCTTAGTCTTCAGTGCTGACTCATAAGGAACCTTTTAAAAATACTGCATTCCACCCCAGAGGTGATTCAAATTGGCCTACAAGGGACCAAGTATTTGAATTTTATGGCTGCCCATGTAATTCAATCATAGCGAGGTTTGAGAAACTGCTGTATATTAATAAAAACTTAGACAAAAAAGAGCTAGCAAGCTTAATAGAAATCACACAAGTCAATCATTTAAAGGAGGCAATTTGCAAGTGTATATAACTAGGAAAGACAGCACCAAGAGCCAGCCTGCGTTCATTCGAAGAAAATCATGCCAAACTAAGCTCAATTCTTTTCTTTGTAGAGTTTCAGCATGTCCAGTAGATACAATACCTCTAGACAGAGAGCATGACTCTCCCAAACTGGTGGCCAAGTTAATCTACTGTCCATGGTGTTCACTAGCAGATCAGCCACACGCTTGAGGAAAACAGTTCCAGGACTTGTCCTTTTTGGTGTTCGGACTACAAAAGTTGTCAAATAACTTTCAACAGGCAATAGTGAGGTGCCAAACTTACACAACAAAGTTAACTTAAATAGGGTTAAAAGAGAAGTCTGTGTGATGACAAACCCCATAGACTGTGAGGTCAGTTGACCATGTGTCCAATATACATTGCTGATGATGCCCAAATTTTAGCTCTGGCCCAGACTTCTTCCCTGAGCCCCTGATTCATGACTGATTACCTACTCGATCTCTCCACTTGAGTGTGTATAGCAGGCATCTCACACTTAACATGGTCAAAACCAAACTCCTGGTCTTCTCCAACCTGTTCCTCCTGCAGGCTTCAGCATCTCATCTAATGGTGACTCCATCCTTCCAGGTGCTCAGGCCCAAACCATGGATGCAATTTTGACTCTCCCTTCTTCTCAAGTCCCACAGTCTGTCTAGCATCAAAGACCCCCCTGCTCCACCTTCAAATAAGCTCTTCCCTGAATCCAGCTACTCACTATTGACACTCCTACCATCTTGGCCTATTATTTTTTGCCTGAATTGCTGTGACATCTGCTAGTCTTCCTGCATCTATGACTTTCTTTAGTCTATTCACAATACAGCAGCCAAAATGATTGTACTAAATCCCCACTTCATTCCAAGTATAGCCCAACTCCTCCAAAGGCCAACAGAGTCCTCAAGATCTCTTCTTTTGCACTGGCCATTTTCCCAGAATGTGCATGATTCACTCCCTCACCTTCTCTGTGTAGCCCTCCCTGCCCGCCCTGCCTAAAATTGTCATCTCCCTCCCCCATACACACACTCCTAAATCCTTTCCCTGCCTTATTTTTTTCCTCTCAACACTTATAACTATCTAACTTAACTATATTTTACTTATTTATCTTGTTTAGTATTTGTTCTCTCACTAGAATTTAAGTCCTATGAAGGCAGTGTTTGTTATCTATTTTGCTCACTGCTATATCCCAAACACCTAGAACAGGGTAGGCAAATATTTTCAATAAAGAGCTAGATCATAAATATCTTAGGCTTTGCAGGTCATACAGACTCTGTTGCAGCTACTCAACTCTGCTGCTTTAGCCTACAGACAAGATATAAATAAATGAGCAAGGCTGTGTTCCAATGAAATTTTATTAACGAAAACAGACAATAGGCTAGATTTGACTGATGGAAGATAGTTTGCCAACTCCTAGTCTAGAACATTACCTGGAACGCAGCAAGCACTCAAAACCATCTGTTAAATTGTCAAAGTAGTAGTCACTTAAAATACTACCTCTGAACAGATCAAACCCGGAATACTATGTCCAGTTATAAGTGCCACGTTAGAATAAAAACACCGATAAACTAAAGAGCATTCATTTCAACCAAAGGAAAACCCTGCCATTTAAAGGTAGCATGAACTGGAGACAATTCTCTGAAAGACAAGATTTCATGGGTCCATGATAGCTGCTTTTGAAAACCAGAAGGCTATCAGATGAAGTGGGGACGTAAACTTTCTGTGTGTTGACAAAAAATAAAAAAGAGATACAGATGGGTAGAAATTTCCCGGAAAGAAAACTGCGGCACCATACAACACACTTCTGGCATTCTAATATGAAGAAATAAAAGTAGTAAATTTCCCCATTACACAATGTCTGGAAGGGATTCCTATACTGAGTGTGAACTAAAGATCCCTCCCTTCTGACCTTACGATTCTATGACATCGGACCTAGGGCAGACAGGACCTAGCCTGTGGAAAAAGAGCAGGCAGGGACTACCTCACAAAGAGGCCGGCATAAAACTGACCATGGAATCAGGAAACGCAATAAGGAGCTAATCCAGAAATCATAGAAGGGCTGCAGGTGTTCACCTAGTACAGATCTGGGTAGAAGGAAGAAGTGAAGTCTGAGAGTTGGCATATTTATTGATAAGGAATAGGGGAGAGGTATGACCTTGATGACTGTATATAACACCACCAGCTGGCAGGGAAGAGCATAACAACCAAAGGGTGTCCATAACACTTTTCACTGTTCTCAGGATACATTACCCCTTTTCCACAATTCTGCATCCTGCATACATCCATCCCCTCCTGGGATAACTCCCCACCTTCTCCATTCGACGGCTCCTCAAAACGCTCCATTGGTATACGCCTTATTCCTTTACTACAGCACACACCCCAAAGTGTTGTGATTAACTCTTGCAGTAGACTGCTGGACACATGGACCACATTTTCTAGCTCCCTTATATATAGTAAGAGGCAACCACATGACTGAGAGCTGGCTGGCAGGATGTGAGTGTCAATGATGTGTGTCACTTCCAAGTCTGAAACATATACAACCCCTTTCCAGCTGAATAAAGAAAACCAGATGGAGAGGACCCAAGGACCAAGCCACAAGATATAAGAAGTCCAGCTACTAAGTACGTGTGTAGTTCCCCACTCCAGCCAATCCAAAATGGACAACATAAGAATAAATGCATGTCTGTTTGTTTTAACTAAGCCACTAAGATCTGGGGCTTTTCTAAGCAGCTAGCATTATTTATAGAACTAATACAATGACTGCCTCCCCATCAGACTGTGTGAACTCTTTGAGAAGAATGTTATTTTTATGGATTTAAACCTGGCAACAAAGAAGGCACCCAAATGTTTACTGAATGAATAACCTAAACCACAAGAGTCAAAACAGTACCCCATTGTACTCTCAAATAGTAACGTATCTGGTACATGTTAGCTTACAATTGTTAAGTAACAAGAGGAAGGTGGCACAGCTCTCTTTTCATGTTTTTTACTGCTTACTATCTTCCAGACATTATTCTAAATGTCTTATCAGTGTTTGGTTCATGTAACGCTCTCAACAACCCTATGAGATATGTACAATGATTATTGCTTGTGGTAAAGTAAGTAGCAGAGATCAGATTTATGCCCAGGCAAACCAGCTTCAGATGGGCAAGGCTCCACCGTGGATTAGGGCCAGTGTGGCAGAAACGTGCCTCTAGCGATGGTGCTGGGAAAACAGGCATCGGCCGCTTTTGTAACCCAGCAGCTTACTTAGAGGCAGCTGCCTTGCATCAGTCAGCACCCTAATCCTGGCTCTGATGGCCCTGCAAAGGCAGAATAGTTACAAGACCTGCCTCACCTAATAAGAAAAGCCTAGTTGCATGAAAAATGATGGAAAACAAACCTCAAAAAGCATATTCTGAAAGATCCCTGAATGCCACTCTAAAGAACTGCTCTTGAGAACAGTGAAGAGGCAAGGGAGGTTGTTAAGCTGAAGGATAGCACAAACTTGTTTTAGGGGTAAGAATATAGCAAGGAGACCCACTGAGAGGAAGAGAAACCAAGAGTGTGAACTGAGTTCGGAGCAGGAGTGGAGAGGGACACAAGCCCCAGGAGGGCAGGTATATTTGGGCATTTCCTTCCTTGTGGATCCCACTCACTTGTGTTCAGGAAACCTTTGCTGAATGAATGAATGACTCCAAGGGTATGTTTAAAGTTGAACGAATAGAATTTGATGTTAGTGGATCAGGATGAAAAAGTCAAGAACTGACAAGTTCATGCCACAAGTGGATAATCACACCAACAAACCCACATGGCAATTCAGGAGGCAGCATAATAAAGGGAAGGTAGGAAAACATGCTCCAGATGCATGCATATATAAAGAGCATATTCATTCACCAGCATGATTTTTAAGTGTCTGCTGGATAAAGTCAGCATATTCATTTTTTTATTTGGACAACCAACATTTACCTGTCAAAGCTAGAGCCAGGCAGATAAGAAACCTGAGCACTGCTGGCTTCCATGTCTGGAATCCCAGCTAGGTCCTGTGACCTCCTTGGTATGACGCTCCTAACAAATTGCTCAACCTCTCTGGACTGGGATTTCCTCATTTGTGAAATAAATATTCACAAGAGGCCTGCCTCATAGGGTTGCTTGAGAATTGAATGAGACATTAAATATAAAACAGTGAGTGAAATTCTGAGCCCACAGGAAGCATTCTATCAGTGTTAGTGATTACCAACATTGTTATCTAAATGGAACCATCTCTGAGGACTAACTGCCTGCATGAGAATATCTGGGAGAAGGAAGGGAGAGGGCCCTGTGTCTGCATTTTTAACAGCATATCAAAACATACTGCTGAAATAGGTAAACATGAGTTTCGACATCTAAAGAAAATATTAAGGTAAGCCTCTGCTGATTTCCATTTTCAGTTAACTCTGTGTGTGTACATAATACAGGCATACCTCAGAAACATTGTGGGTTCCTTTCCAGACCACCATGAAAAAGTGAGTTGTAATCTTTTTGCTGGTGGAAGGTCTTGCCTTCGATTTGTAAAAAGCACAGTATCTATGAAGGGCAATAAAGGGAAGTACAATAAAACGAGGTGAGACTGCATAGATAAAGAGATCTCATGTGGATTAGATTAATCTTTAAATGGGTCTAACATTTATCTTCCTGTCTTCAGGCACCCTCTGGCCCTAGCAACCTGAGGCCTTAACTCTGGACTGAGTGAACTGCATTTACTATCATCTCCAGTCTCTCAATGTTAAGGCTCAGAGATCACTTGCATGCAGCCACACAGAATTTGCAGGGCCAAAGATAAGAGCTGAGTCCATCTAATTCCAAAGCCCGCACCTTCCCACTGCACTACAGGCATCTACCTGTATGTTATTCATCAGCACAGAAAATATGTACAAAGGGATTAGAGCTCAACCAAAAAGGAAAGCCATGGAAGCATCCTCACTGGGAACAGGACCCCATCAAAAAGTGACAGGTAAGACTTAATACTGAAAGCTCATGTTGTAGAGGGCGCCCCCGTGCACCACACCCCACAGAGCAGGTGTCCTGGGAGCTACAAAAGGAAGGAGACGAGTCCCCTGGAGAAGTCAGAAAAGCAAGTTATCTACTTGACATACTGAAAGGATACTGGTTAACACCAGATGCAGGAATATAAGGATAAATACCAAAAGAAAAAAACAAAAAAAATCAAGAATAAACTATAGGAGATAAACTTATAAAATTTGTTACACTGTTTATTTCACTGCAAGGACTTAGTAAATTTTAATACACCTTTGAGATATTCTATATCTTGCTTGGAGCTGCAATTATTGCATAAAATTGCCAAAACTCATCAAACTAAACCTTAAGAAAGAGGAACAGACTGAGGCCAGAGAAAGAGCTGGCCTGAAAAGCTCCACTAGCCTCCATCTACAACATGTGGATTTCCAACTGTTAATGACAAACAAGGAGATTAATATGAGGTAGTCTGAAAATGGTGCAAAAATACTATTTTAAAATTAAACATTTCTATGCATTCATGATCAATATTTACTGAGAGCCTAATACAACCAACTCTCTAAGCCATGTCAGCACTCAGCCATATGCACTTCCCCCTCATGTCATCAGCTTTCTCTGAAAAGAGTCTCCAGAGAGTGTGTCTTGACACCGGTGGCAGTCTCCACGACAGCATTCGCTTTGTTGAGCCAGCGTCAAGGGAGCAAGAATTTAACCACTCTTTGGGCCAAATGCATATGGCCCAAACCATTCTCAACCGCCATCTCTGGGGACACATTCTGTACTAACCCCCAACCTGCTGACCTCCAGGATAAAGGTGGGCAGAGGAATACAGAGCACATATGTACACACACACACACACACCCCACCACCACCAACCATCAGGGAGAAGGATATCACCAGGGAGAGTCTCAGGGAATTGGGCAATCTAATGCCCAGTTGGACATGGTTCACAATTTTTGCCATTTATTTTCAATAATGGGGAACAGGAAGAAGTATTCAATAAACCATAAGGGAAAATGGGCTGTTCTGGAAAAAAATGGGGCCTATCTTATAGCAAATACTAAAAGAAATTCTAGCTGCCTTTTTTGTTAGAAATGAGAAAAGAACTTTAAAAACTACTTATAGAGATTTAAATGATGCTGGGATTTAAAAAGATATATTACAAAAGCAACAGGAGAAATCAAAAAGAAAAGCTCATATATATCATATTTCATTATATATCATAATTAATGATATATAAATTTAAAACCTCTAAACTAATTAAGAGACAAATGAGAATGTGGAAAAATATTAAGCACTATTACAAGTTAGTTCAAAAATATAAATGCCTCATAGGGACAAAAATCTATTAATAGACAATTCAAAGAAATACAAATGAAATCAGGAGTATATGTTTCATCTCTATAAAGCAAATACATTCAAATTAAAATTGGTATTATATTAACCTTTTTACTTAGAAAAAAAGTTTAATTCGGGTACTCAGGGTTGATAATGAAATAAGCATACAAACCCCTATTAAGAGGGAACATTCTATTGGAAAACAATTTGTTTTTTCATCAATAATAATACTTCTGAGAATAGAGAAAAAGGAAAGATGCCCCAAAATATATGGGCATGGATATACATTATATCATAATACACAGAAACAAACTGTGTTCAAAAAAAGCGAGACTCTGTAAATTGCAATCATTAAATATCATGTTTTGAAGATTATTTTATGCCATAATAAATGTTAACCATAGGAAATTAAGAAAGAATCGGAATTCAAAACTATTTAGTTTTATGGAAAAGGCATGTGGGCACACAGGTGTACATAAAAAGTTTTAGGAGGAAGACTAAGAAACCATCGAAATAGCAGCAGGTACTTGGCTAAGAGAAATAAATCATCCTTATTCCTTTCTTCTTTCTCTACAGTTTTAAATTTCTTACAGAAATAGAAAAAATATGTTATTTTCAAAAATCTGCAACAACTACCAGTAGCCATAATACATGACTCCTCTTAGACCCCCAAGTCCAAAATGTGCTGTGAAAACACTAAAATCCCAGTAAGGTTATTTTGTATAAAAGTCAGTATGCTAGTTATTGGCATCTTTAAGAAAAAGGTAGCTACCAGTTCATAAGCTTAGAAAGCAGATGAAATTTGAGAAGAAAAGCAAACAATCGATGAGAAGTTGAAAAATGAGTTTTTCTCTACAAGTTTGGCCTTGTCCCCAGGCAGCACTTCCTGGCTGGCCTCATTTCAGCTTTCCTGCCTGGACTCAGAGGGATACACAAAAAAATCAATGAAGTGCCTCAGACTTTCAAATTCCTCAAACTGCAGAGGGTAAATAAATACAGGGTGGCAATCATAGTCTACAACTGACTTCACAAAGACTTGTCCTTTTTTAAAAATTATTAATACTAGAATAACAATAACAATGGGAGGAGTGGCTTAAAGCAATGAGCCAGTCTTAACTTTCCATCAGAATTACCTGGAATGCTTGTTTAAAATCCACATTCCAGAGTTTCTAATTTTACAGAATTGATCTGGAATGGATGCCAGATGCATTTCTAACAATGCATTTCTAACAAACTCCCAGGTGATGTGGATACTGCAGGTATGAGTGCCACACTTTGACAACAGTTGCCCTAAAGCATGCACCATCTCCAACAGCAAGAAATTTAACAAACTCCAGCCTACAAGAACAAAGGTATGTGTGGAATAGCCTTCTCCATGCATTTAAAAACAAGTGGCCCAATAGAAGCACTGGTTTGAACACGAGCCCAGACGTCACAATGCCTGGTTTGGGATTCTGCTCACCACTACTTACTGGCTGCGTGATCCTAGGCAACTTACTCAACCTCTCTTTGCTTCAGAGCCTTTAGGTGTAAAACGGAATTAATGCCCCCCCCCTCAGCAGGGAAAACGGACATGAGTGGCTATTCAAGTGATTAATGAGAAGCCCTCACTTTTCCATCTCCATTCACAAACATTTCCATAATCCACAAACAAAGTGCTTACTGAGGTCCTTGCCCTGCCTGAACTTAAGGTGTTTTCCTGCTTATAATTTATGGTAACCACAGCCATATTCCTTCTTCACTCTTTTCCTTAAAGGCCGGCCACCAACCAAGAGATGTTCCAACACATACTGAACACACCATAATTAAAACAAGTGTAAGTGCACTCATTCCCTTGGGGTCCCTTAGGCTTTCCTTAAAAAAAAAAAAAAAAAAGGAAATATCAGAATATGTAGGAAAGATTAGAGTCGAGAAACATAAGATCTAACAATCAACCAAGTGTGACTGAAGTCCACCCAGTCAATAGTCACAGCTGCTAAAATGGGAAACTTTAGTAAGAGCTTCACCTCTGTAGGCCGTTTTGCACCTGTGTTTCCTCCCAGTTCAGGGACCCTTCAGTGGTTTTGGGACCACAGGACTCGTTGTGCAGGACCACCTGCATCAAGACCCTGGATGCTTCTCTGAAGGTTATAGATCCAAATAAGACCCATCCCGAGTAGTCCTCAAAAGTGGAAGTGGAAATATTAGCAATAGGAAAAGAGCTGGTCAAAGAAATGCTCCAGTCAGGGCTGTATGTGTACCAAGCAAAAGCCAATCGTGATCAAATAGTGTCCCCCTTCATTAAATAATAACGAAGTGCTTTTTACCCACATGAAATTTGCCACAACCGGCTTCTAGGGCACACAGTGAGAAACATACAAGAGAAAGAGGGAGAGAGGGAGAAAGGCAGAGACGTAGTCACGGACACGGAGGAAGCCCAGCCCGATGGAGCTGTAACGCAGCTGTCAT